CCCATGTGATAATGCCTGAGTTTTTGGTGCTTTACATTGTACTTACAACAGGTGTCTTACCTGCTGTTTCTGTGTATGACTGGTCGCTGTTTTTTTGGCAGGAATGATACATCGTTTAGCCACAGTTCAGTTGTGTGTATGCAATCTGCTAATGGCCAAAGCAATTGCAAGGGGTTTTTGGTGCAGCACCGTATACATTTTTGGGATTAATTTCACTTATCAACAGCTTAAACCTCCAGCAACAAGCAAGCTGGGTAATTTTCTCCTGGTGACTGGTGCTTCCTGAGAGTGGCCTTTCTGAGATACCGGTCCAGATCTGATTTCAAACTGACAGCTATTGATATTAACAGGATCATAAACATAATGTACTGATGTACATTTTTGCCCTCTTGAGAGGAAAAACTAACATTTCTTATTACTGACACTGACCTTTGCTGCTCTTCTCTTCTGTTGCTGATTTTGTTTGCTATTGATAGGGCTGTGCGACATGACCAATGCACAAAACCATATTTTTATGGCCCTAGCAGGGCCTCCAACAGAGATTGCCCTTGTGTGGGTGTGTCCCGCCATCTCTCCTGCCTCAGGTGCCACTTTTTTTGTACAGCTGACTCCCATCAGCAATTAGAAGTACTTAAAGCCAGAGAAAGGTGAGCTCTAGTGTCAGAAACCCATGTTGGGTTGCAGCTAGTGAGCTGTGCGTGTTTGGTGACTAATCCTTTTTTACTTACTTTTCAGTTTACTGACCAACACCTGAGTTTTGGTTTGTTTCTTTAAATGGTGATAGCAGCTTGACCATCTCTTTTAATTCAGTTATTAATAGAAGCATTAAAAAACCTCTTTAATTTAACCATTCTGCCTCTCTCCTTCATCCCCTGGACCTTTTTAGGGGAACGCAACACATACATTTATAAATATATGTTGTAATGGCCGCTATCTCGTTATCTTCCTGAGTCTTTATTAAATGGCGTGCCGCTGGGAAAAGAAAAGCCTGCTCTGACATTTGAGTTTTATTTTGAGCACAAAATAAACGACAGAGTGAAAAGATAAGTGTTTTAATATTGTTAGTCGATATATTTCATCACATCGCACAGGCCTAGTTATTGGTTTAAACTTAGTAAAATGTCATGTAAGTGCATATAAGGAACATAACATTTTTAATGGTTCATTATTCTAGCCGTGAACCTTTAACTACACACTTTTACCTGTAACATGAGGAGTCACTGCACACTCGGGACAAACCCAGTCACCTTCAGGTCTCGTGTTTAAAGTTGGTCTCAAGCAGTGCATATGATAACTGGAAAGAAAAAAATGTAGTTCTGTACATATGAGCACCAGCTGGGACACATGCAAAACATGAGTGGCGCTATTCAAAAAGCATCACAGGGTGGAATCACGACAAATCAAAACATGTGAAATCATACCCTGAATCACAGAGTATGCACACCAGAAGCCGGTGCCTCCGGTCTCCACGACCACATTCCTCACAGATAACCGCAGCACTGCTCCCCTCCTCTTCATCACCACCATCTTCATTTTTTCGTACGCTCACTTTGATCTGGGGAAGCACAAATACCTCAGCCCACTGTTCACATATATAATGCTGGATTTCCATATGCCACCTCCATCAAACCTTTTTTTGAACGTCGTCTCCAGGGCTCTGTCTCTGGTAGATTAAGGTAAAACTGATGCGATCCACTGGGCAAGTGTTAGCTGTCTGAAAATCAATAGAAAGAAAAGAAATCTGTGAACACAGCAGTGTCTTAAAATTTCATTCACATATGTTTGTAACTACTCACTATCACTTTGGAAAAAGTGAAAACAGTGGAAAAAACACAATTCTCAACACATTACATTACTTATATTTGGCCAACAGCATAGAACTTAATTTACAACAATTTGCAAAAAATTATTTTATCAATAAAAAAATTAAATTAAATCTAAAATTCTCACCTTTAAACTGTTAAAATGATTAACCGCATTAACATTATGTTCAGTCTGTGTCAGAAGAAGCCTTTTTGTTTATATTGTTTTTATGCCGTACATGCACCCTTTTACCCAAGCGAAATTCCCTATTTTCCATCAAATGAGCTGGTATGGCTCTTAAAGAATGTTAAACAACATTTACGACTTTAAAGTATCTGTGAAAGGTGAGGAGAGTTTACCTGGGACCACTGGAGAATACATTCAAGGCAAAAGACGTGCTGGCAGTTCTCCAGAGAGCCCACAGTCTGCTTCTCAAAGGGATTCAGGCAAATGTAGCATTTCACTGAATCACACATCAAATCTTCGCTTTCTGCACCAGCTGTATTCAACACAGGGGATCTATCCATCTGTTTGTATCAGTTGAAACCTTTACTATCAATATGACTGATGTCCGCAATACCTTACTGCTTACACACCGTTAAAACGGAACAGTTATAACCAAACTCCATTTCAGTGGTTTCTTACAAAGAGTCACTGATCGACCACAACAACAGGTCAGCTAGCATTAGCCGCTACTATCATTTCCTGCTGCCGCGTTAATATAAACATATATCAAAATATGTGTAGCCTCATTATTAAGTGATTCGTTCTTTACTTAACTTGTGTGACAGGATATCAATTATATTTAGCCCGTAAAATTAAATCTGTAGCTTCTTTACTACTGAACTATTTTCATGTTCCCCGCTACCCGTGAAAACATCCGGTCCTTTTCTTTCAGAATAAGAGCGGTTAATCGCGCTTGGTCTCTTTCACTTCCTGTAGTAAAGAGATGGTTATCTTAGAAACCAACTTTTACAAAATAAAAAAATAGTAATTGGAAAAACCGGAATGATCAGTGATTGCCCCTCTGAAGTTTGAAACATTAGGAGAAAATATTGTGTTATATTCTGAATCCCTACTGATTCAGCTGACCCTGCAGAAACATACAGCATTCTCAATCCCGCCTATAAGAGTAATAATAATAATAATGATAATAATAAAATAATAATAAAAAATAATAAAAAATAATAATAATAATAATACATTTTATTCGAAAGTGCTTTTCAGAACACTCAAGGACACTGTACACAGCAGAATAATAAAAGCAACATAAAAACAAGCAGTTTACACAATCATAAAAGCATAAGACATAAAACAAATTTAAAATAGCAGAGTGGGGAGGTTATGTGGGATAAGCTATTTTGAACAAGTGAGTTTTGAGTCTGGACTTAAGGAGAGAGAAGGAAGTAATATTTCTTAAATCAGGAGGTAGGGAATTCCAGAGTCAAGGAGCAGAGCAGCTGAAGGCCCTGCTCCCCATGGTGGCAAGACGGGCAAGACGGGGAGAGGGGACAGATAGAGAAAGAGAAGAAGAAGATCTGAGACACCGAGATGGGATGGTGATCTGAACCAGATCAGAGTTATGGAGGGGAGAGATGATGAATAGTACCATCTACATTAGTCAAAGAGGTCTGCAGTATGCATCAGTGGGCAAGATACTGAACCCTGAGTTGCCTCTGATACATCTCCCAATGTTTTAAACTGACAGAAAAATAAAACTGTATTTTGGAAGTCATTATTATTCAAGACAGAAACATGGGACTACCTTGCACTCTCTTTACTGTGTTTTGACAACTGACTCAAATCAGTCATTGGGCTATGAGTCCTTAAGGTCATGGAAAGGAGAGCTTTTGCTTTACAGTGCGTTGGCTGTGTGTTTGTGTCTGTTCATGCCTACTCAGTGACGAGGAGCTTTGGGTCATTTCACCTTCTGACTAGCTTTCATTTTGTGACTAACTTCTAGGGTTTTCATCTGAATTCAGTCTGAATTTTTCCTAATTATAGTCTGCAGTATGTATCAGTGGGCAAGATTATGAACCTCAAGTTGCCCCCGATACATTTGTGTGACTGAGGGTATCAGAATGTTGGAAAATTAGCTTAGGCATAAAACTGGGTTCTCAATTAGAGTACAAAAGTACTATATAATTATCCAGTAATGGGTAAAGCTGGATCCCTGGAGTGTGTGAACAGTTAGTTTTTAATATTTCACCCACTTATGGTGACTGCAGACAAAAATGTGTGCTTCACACAAAGAGATGATACAAATAGCAGCACTTATACCATATATTCACTTCCTTAAAAAAAAACCAAAACAACAGGCTCTATCACTTTTTGCACCCTGTTGTGATACAGACAGTCTGCAATCATCTGAAATGAAAAACAAGATAAACTTGCAACATAAAGATGCAAAGATGTCATTCTTACCACTACAGGGCACACTGCAGATTACTCAAACCTTGTTAATGAGAGCTTTCAGTTTACAGTTTGCAAGAATGATTTAAATCACGTTTTCCTTTACCATCATGAGTCACTGGGTGTATAATGATGCAGTTTCATTTAGTCAGTTTCACCTATTTAACACTGAAACTACTACACAGGCTAGAATGGATGTGTGTAGAATGATTTGATTTGTCAGAAACGTCCATTCCAAAGGTTGTACAAATAAGTAAAATTTAAAAAAAAAAAACACAAAAAAACAGGTTTAACACCACACTCTGATTTTATATTTTTATCTGCATGGCAAGCCTTCAGGTACAATATGAGAGAAAGTGAAAGATGTTTGTGTGTTTTGCAATATTAAAAGAAAAACCACAACACCAATATGGCAACTCTCAAAGAATGTAAAAACTCCATCCAGCCTGATGGAAATGTTGTCAAATTGTGGGGGAAGACTGAACAGCAAATTTCCATTCACTGCAACACTTTGTATATTTTTATAGTATGTAAATGATGCTTTTGGACTGACGCGAAAATGTTCTGCTTGTTTTACACATGCAGTACTAAGCTAACACATTAAAAATACAATCAAAAATAACCACAAGCTGTTAAGCTGTATACATTTACACTGACGAGGGTGGGTGATAAAAGTACACTGTAGACCGTCATGCTTTGGTTTCCTGTGCCTGTCTCTTTGAAACAGGAAACTACACTGTCTGAGCAAAAACCAGCATGTTACATACCCTCTGTAGTCAGAGAGAAGCAGCACAAACAGGAGGTTTCATCGCGTTTTTGGTCTGCATTTTCTGCATGTGGATATCAAACGGAGTCCATAAACGACTTGGTGAGCAACTTTATATATTAATGATAATATTCCACACATATACATAATTTTAGTAATTTATCTATCAAAAAAAGACTTTAGAAAATGTTTCACAAAACCTGCCGAGATTGTAAAAAAAATCTCTGTTCTCTTAAACTTTACAGCAGAAAAGTAAAAATTATTAAACATCTAAGAACACTTTGTCATCGTTTATTATTGAAGATGATTTACTTTATTGGTTTAATTTGTGGACGGTGACTTTCTGCCTTGTTATGCTTCACTTTTGTTAATTTCTTGAATAAGTTAAGTATAAAATCCTAAATTACTCTTTGTTTTAATAAACCAGATGAAAGCATTTTCTGGAGCAACAACAACGTGTTAAAAGCAGAATCTACTTTAAATGTTTCTGATCAGCTTGTGTTTGCTGTTGTGTGGAACTGAAAGTGGAAAAACTCTGAATGGAAATGTGTGTGTGTTTGTGTTGCAGGAGACAAACTGTGATGCTTCATTTTTGAGAACCATCCTACGCTTCTTTTGATATGACCAAGAAAAATACCAACCTGCCATGATGAATGTGACAAACGATGACTGCAACATCCAAACGCAAGAGTACGAGTATCATCTATTCCCGGCCGTCTACATCCTCGCCTTGCTTGTGGGTTTGCCGGGTAACCTGGCAGCCCTTTTCGTCTTCACCTTTAAGATCACTCACCGCACGGCCTTCAGTATCTACATCAGCAACCTGGCGGTGGCGGACATCATCATCCTTTGCGTTCTTCCCTTTCGGATCCACTACCACATAAACAGGAACAACTGGCAGTTCGGGGACTTCACCTGCCGCCTCACAGGGACTCTCTACTACGCCAACATTTACATGAGTATCTGCTTCATGACATGTATCTGCGTGGACCGCTATATGGCCACGGTGCACCCGCACAATTACCTGAGGATGCGGAGCCCCTGGTGCGCTCTGATTGCGAGCGTGGTGCTCTGGTGCTCTGTCGGAGTGGCCATCCTGGTCTTCATACTCATGGGGCCTTTGAAAACCAACTCAGACAATTCTCAAAACCTCAGTTGTTTTGAAAATTTCGCCAAGATAGAATGGGACACTCGTCTGGGGCCATACAGCATACTGGGCCTCGTCTTTGGCTCCTTGGTGCCCACCATAATCATCCTAGTGTGTTACCCGCTGGCCGTGAGGCGCATTTCCCTGATCCGAACTAGAACAGCCCAAAAAGCTGTGAGGGTCATCTACACCATCCTAGTTATCATGCTGCTCTGCTTCCTGCCTAACCACATTGTGTACTTGCTGCACCTCCTTTACCGCTGGGAGATGATCCAAAACTGCTCCTTTGGCAGAGCCATCTACAACGCCCGGCGGATCACCATGGCGCTCATCACCCTCAACACATGTCTTGACCCTGTGCTCTACTATGTCACCACCAGCCACTGCCACTGGGAGCGATTAAAGATGACATGGCTGTGGGGAGCGGTGAGCCGGAGGAGGGGGGTTTATACCATCGCAGTGAACTGAGGACGGGGGCAACAACACACTTACTGTAAATACAGCTGTAAATAAATAAGACTCTATATAAGTGTCATTATCACTGGACATGTAACTGGAGGACTGCAAAGACTTTTCTATAAAAGTGTTTATTTGTGCATCAAAATAAAGGGATAAAACAGAATTCAAATGGTCTTTTTTTCCTCAAAATGAGTCAATAATACGAAAAAAGCCTCTGTGTGTTACATGTAAATAAAGGCAGCAGCTCTTTTGTTGAAGTTTACATGTAGACATTTCAGTTTCTCTGCACTTGCATGGAGATTTTAACTAAAAATGAGCTTCTTCTAGTGTGAATGTCCTTTGAGGCTAAAAGTTGCTTCAGCAGATTCCAGATGGAAGACCCTTTTTCAGCAGGGATGAGAGGAAGCTCCCCAGGTCCTCATCCTGACGAAAGATAAGAAAACAAACCAAACATTTTAGGGAAATAAGAAAGTTAGCATCATGTTTGTGCTTGGCACAAATTAGATTTAAGGAAGTAGCTCAGGGGTTTCCAAACTTTTAACCTCATCGGGGTTTTCCAGCCTCATATAGGGCCTGGCTATACATGAAAGTATGATTGGTCTGCGTCCAGTTAAGCACAAATAGCCTGAAATACAGGGAATGCACATACTTCTATCAGGTAACATGATGCTTTTGGAAATCAATAAATAAAAGCCCCAAATATTTGAAATACAATTCTCATGATTTTCTTTTGAAGAAGGCCAAAACCTCCTTCACAGATGGAAACCTTACTTATGGGTCCTTAACATTAGAGAATAACACCTGCCACAGATTTAAAAAAAAGATGAAAATAGCAATTAAAAACATAAATTGTTTCTTACTCTGGTCCATCTTATTATGACTAACTCGTGCTAAGCTCCACTGATAAATTACAGTGAATTTGCTCTGGAGCTAATGATTCTTGTTTGTTAACAATTAATCTTCAATTATATTTTATAATAATTAGATTGTTAATTAGACCAAATGAAAAGAAAAATGCTCATCAAAATGTCCTAAACACCAGAGTTGTTCAATTTTAATAGACATTACAGACTGAAAAGAAAACCATGACATTTGAGAAGCTGAAACAAAAACAAGGTAAAACATATTATTTTACAAACTATTTAATATATTTACCATTCAAATTATCTAGTATATGTGTATTTATCCTTTAAACGTCTTAATTTTAGTCAACCTCTGAAGCACACCTCATTGGATTTCATTTCATGGATTAGTAACAACATTCCTACAATCAACTTCGACAAGACCACATTTTAAAAAACACTCCAAAGGGAATCTAACCAATAATTTGCATTTTGGATCTTACATTAATACACTGTCGACACATCTTCCACTTGTTTTTTAGAGGGTGGTATCTTCATAGGAATTATTTGGCTTCAAACCTCCCCTGCACGGTTTGATACTTCATCTTTACTGTGTTTTCATAGAATGTGCAAATAAGTCAAATTAAACATAAAATAATATTAAAACAGTAATTTTATAATAATTTTACTGTTAGTCACTCAGGCTTTATTTATATAACACTTTTAAAATAAAATGCAATTTAGAGCACTTCACAAGCAACTGATTCATGGTCTATAACTAAGTAAGCGGAGGTTACCCGGTTGAGTTGGTAACCCATTATACTGAAGACTAGAACCCTTACTGCAGATACCTGGAATTGAGTCTACATGTCTTATGTGCCATTTCTCTTCCATTTGTCTACCTTTTTCTCCGGTTTTGTCCTGTCCTGTCAAAATGAAGGCTAAAATTCCCCAAATCTCCCCCCCCAAGACCTCCTGCACATGATCTTTTGCAATTCATAAATAACATTAATTGTTCAGCGCAAGTCTTATTACACCCATACTTTTCCTGTCATCAAAAGGATCCTTCAGCCTTCTTCCTTGAGGTTCTCTAAAGTTCTCAATTACACCTCAACTACTAATCAAAGAGATTCGATATGTTAAGTCATCAAAAACTGTAAAAATAAAAACTTTCTTAGTTGAACCTGTGCAACACCACTTGAAGTTGCAAGACATAAAAGATATAAGAAAGAGGCATAAAATGCACAGTAGAATATTTTGTTTTTTTACCCGCTGCTCTTTGCACGGAACGCACAAAACCACAGAAACCTCTTTTCTTCTTTCCACTGTGACGGAGTTTAACAGGCTGGTTTCCCCACCTTCTACTTTCCCCTTATTCTCACTTTCAAAGCCCCTACTCTCATACTGTCCACCTACGCGACTGTTTTCACTCCCCCTGGCTGAACTGCTCACCATCAGGCCTGTGTAGGCACATCTTAACAGAAGAACTGTCATCTCCTGAGCACTGCGGTCCCAATTTTACTTGAGTCCATCACTGATAAGGATCTAGGACAGTAAACCATGATATTTACATTAACCTTTATCAATCTTCTTGCACTCATTGCGGTCACAATGGATCCCTTGCTTCACGTGCCAAAATAAATCACATCTTGCAAATACAGTTGGCCTCGTTCTTGATATGAGCTGTCGGACTGCACTGTAACTCTTTGAATATTTCTGCTGCATGCATTAGTGTGACCCAGCTTTAATTCCCTTGTACACCTTTAAAAAAATATTTACAAAATTCACAGTTCACCAACTTGAAAAACTGGAAAAATCCAGATAAAGTTACTAGAATTTAAAATTCCTTAGGAGCTGTACAAGACTATTGGGGAAAAAAAAAAGCAGGAAATAAATTATACCAGAAGCAAAGAAAACGTCCATCAGAGATCTGAGTAACTTCAGATCAGGAAGCTTAATGCCAGATTTAGACCAAATCCTTTAGGTGTGTTTTGGTGGTATTTCATAGCGAACCGTTAGCCTCCACAGCCCCACACATACAAACTAACACACACACACGGTGTTCGACAACAACTAAATCCAACCTTGACTTGCTTCTAATTTTATCAGATGAAATCCAAACACACACTTTTAGTTCTACCACATCACATTTGTTGGAATAAACTTGTGTAAACTTGTGCAGTGAGTCACCAGTTCTATTTAACAGGAAGAGTAAAGTTTAATATCAAACACCTCCGAAACTACTGAGTCTTTAACACTTGCAAAGGTTAACATTTGAGACCAATCTCATCCTAAAACCCTGAGTGTGACATTTACGTGCTCACTCTTTGGACCAGAAGACATCGTGATTTAGAAATGACTTGTAAACACATTTGCTTTGCATCTCCCTTTCTTTTTCTAGCAGTCTTTCTACTTATTGTTTTATTTTAATTTATTTATTTTTCTCTAAATGATTTTTATTTCTTTCAAAGAAAAAAAAAAATAAAGCGAGTTTACATTAACGTTTAAGAGGAAACTGGAAACTCACAGGTTGAGGATGAAGTTAATGTACAGTCATGATTCATTTAAGAAGAAGGTGCAAAAAGGCATGACCGGAAAAACTCTATTCAACTGCAGCATCAAGAACAGAAATATGACATTTATATTTGTTTTTTGTATTAATTTCAGTGAAGGTACTTTCCATGGCACGACACCCCACCAGAGGTGCAGAAAGGAAACCTTGTTGCCACTTTCCACTGCACTTTGTGACACTTACTTTTGCTTTTCTTTTGGATAGGGCGACTATATTATGTACTGAGCTACAGAAAGCTATCAGTCTAATCATCTTTAGCTGATTTTAGTCTGTGTTAGGTTTGTTTATTGGTAAATTACTACATGTTAATGGAAAAAAAGAAATTATAAACAAGGTTACAACTATATATAATGTTACCCACAACGAGAATATTTACAGGTCAGAGCAGGTCATCCAAACCTTTATGTCTTCAAGATCTGCTGTTGTTTAATCTGTAGTTTAAAGTTTGGAGTTGGCAGAAGTAAAATTGTAAATATTTATTATGCTTGAGTTCTGCACATCTAATTCTGTAAGACAATAAGAAGACTGGAATTACCAAAACTTTACAACTACGTCTAATCCAAAGAGCTGGAGGATGCTCAAGTTGTTTTTCAAATATCACACGCAACTTCTTTCATTTCCTTAAAATGTGTGTCAGTGCAGCGATGATTTTAGCCACCATTAAGACCACATTTATATTTGTTAATCTATAAAGAAATAGACCTTAACACTACAACTCTCGGGGACAACTACAGGAGCAGCAAGAAGTTATTTCTTGAAGAAGTTGGTAATTTCTATCTATTTTTTGTAATTAGAAGTAATATATTTAAGACTATGTTTTAGGGGTTTTACTAATGATTTTGATTATTTCACTACAGACTGCAAAGTTACACTGACCAACCTTGTGTTGTTGATGGATTACTTCAGATGTTCCCCAGACTGAAGTCTGGTTCATTTTCAGCATCTTTTTCCTGCCATGTCATCTCTGCTCATCGGGAATCTCACATGAACTTTTATTGAGGGGAAAAAAATCCCCCAGCCTCACTATGCTAATGTGTTTATATATCCTAACCAAAGCTCTGTAGCTAGCCACCAGCTAGCACACCATTATATATTAGTGTCTTCATTTAAGTCCAAAGTGATACCAGAGCTGTGCGTTTTAGTTTTTTAGAAATCCCTCAGTCAGAACATTGCGTATCATCTCGCCTTGAGGCGACTTTTGTTGTGATTTGGCGCTATATAAATAAAATTGAATTGAATTGAATAGATTGAAACAATCGAGCTAACACCCTGCCAACTTCTAACTCTGTTACTTTGTAAATCCTCTTTTTCATGGATGCCTGGATGATAACTTTGTTGTAACACCTGGAAGAGCAGCCGCTCTGATCATTTTACTGAAGATTAAAGAATTTGGACCGTTTTTAACTCTCAGTGATGCCACAGTGTTTGTTTGAATCTGGGAACTGAAGAAGAGTTTGGACCCAGAAAGAGCTAATGACGTCAGACTTAAGAGGTGGATTAGCTAAGACAGCTGGATAAAGGAAAGATTTTTTAAGTAAAGGCTCAATTATAACCTGTTAATAAAGATCAAGCGATCATATAAAATCTTCCGACATATTAAGTCAGTATAACTTTTTTAATTGCAATATGAGGCCCTGTTTGGACCTCTTTAAAATGTTTAGTACCTCCTCTCAATTTTTAAGTCCCCAAAAAAATGGCATAAAATCTCCTGTACACTATATACATTATATCTCATGTTACATGTCTATCTTCTGTTTTCCAGCATCCTGTTGTTCCTTCACAGAATTTCATTGGAAAATTATTTCATATCTCAAAACAGTGATTCAATAACTAGATGATTAGGGGAACTACCAGGCTTCGACTGCAAAGGCAGTCCTCTAATGTATCTTTTTACCACCCCACTGTATGTCTATCAGTTCTCTATCTTGTTGCTGTTCAGAGCATTTAAAAGAATAAATAATAACGAAACGCTCCAAAAATAATGTCCATGTTTTCACCTGGTAACTCCAGGAAAGCAGCAGGACTTTGGTGTTGGAGTCTTCGGCAGAGGAGGAGACTTTGATGACGATAGACTCCACGATGACTGTGCCATCGGGGAGGTGCTGGATGGTGTAGCCTTTTAACACACTGAGGCAAAGAAAAGCAAAATGATCTAATTTGATAATTATACTGAGAGAAACTGAAATCAAGCAGACATTAGAACAAGCAGATAATAAGGCCGACACATTCGCATTAATCATTAGCTAGTGGCAGACTAGTGACCTCACTCTCACCTCTTAAGGTGCGTGTAGATTCTGTGGAGCGTGTCGGCGTCGCTGTGTGGATCCTGGAGCTGCACGTGGCAGGTGAACCGTAACTGATGCTCATTGAGGCCCAGCTCCTTCAGGGCCTGCTCTGATGATACCAGCTTCAGACTCTGTGTAGTGAAAGCCACAAGGGGGTAATTATCATTATACAGTAAATAATAACTGAGCAACTGCACGCCACAAATGAAAGGGACACAGCTGCCAGTTTATTAGGTACACAGATCTAAAGTTAAACCACACAATATGATGCAATGTTACTGAAATATATCAAAGCAAGTTCTAAAATAACTAGACACAAAATTGAGTCCTCTTAAACGTAGATCTTGATCTTCATGTATATTTTCGCGTTTCAAAAAAATTAGAATCTAAAAACATGTTATAAACCACGAAGCTTACGTTTTCCTTCATGATGAGCGTTCCGTGCATGGTGCGAGGTTTTTTGGGATCAGGCAGCGGCCCTACAGCACAGCAAATAAGATATATCATTGTATAAACTGCTACTTGTGGTCAAAATGAATAAAACAGTGAACAACAATACAAGTCCTGCAACAAAGGCTGTCAGTAGGGTGAAGTTCAAGAAAAGTGAGCAAACCTATATTAACCTCTTTGAACTAGAGAGGTGGTCTGCTGAGGAAGTTTCATAGGTTAGTGAGGTAAACTGAGGGTAAAGGGTGTCACAAAGGTAGTTTTAACATAGATCACCATGGTAACTTATGCTGAACATGTAGACTGGTCTGGAGAAGGTTACGTTCAGCGTTTCAGTTAGAAGCTGTCTGGAAGCGCCACATGAATTCACAAGTTTAATGATTTCCTGCCAGCATTCTGCCTCTTCATTATTCTTTTATTTGAGGTTCCAGGGCTGACTTTTTCTACTTTATGTTTTTTATTGTCCGTCACCCATTCCTCTGACACATGTCTGACAGATGCAGGCGGAGCTCAATCTGTCAATTCCCCTTTTCCATGTGATCTTTTGTGCAGAAAGCCTGGGTTAACACAAAAGGTTGCTAGCCAGTGTTGCAACTGGGGTTTCAGGTATCATCAAGCCAGCAAACACAAAGAAAGCCTGGTTACGTTGAACTTGATTTATAGTACACCTCTCTGGAAGCCAGGCACTATTGCTTATAAAACCAGTGCCATTTTGAAAGGTTTACCAAGGAGGGTGCTTGCCTCACTGAAGAGGCACCTTCTATAACTGAATGAATGTGGCATTTGTTTGACTTCCTTTATAGTGAATCAAATTGTGTTAAATTGTAGTTTAATATAAAGAATGTTTATAGCATTTAATGTATTTTTTTTTTTTTACTGATGAAGTAAAATTGTTAATATTTGCTTCAGTTGAGCAGTAACCTCACTCTGTATTAGTGGTAAGATGAGTTATCTTAATAGAAAATCCTCCCGAGTGTCCACAGTTAGCTCTGTGGACACTCGGGAGGATTTTCTATTTTTGTATTAGGTTGTTCATTTTGGCCTCACAGTTTGAAGTGGTTACTCACAACACTTGGGGATATTTTTATTCCAGGTGGACATTAGAAAGAACAGCCCAAGGCTTATGGGGCAAATAATTCAACATCTAATTGGAATTAGATGTTGAATCTTTTAATATGACAAGTTGTTTTCAAATCTCATGAGCTACAACAAACAGATTGGCCACCATTAATCCCACATTTCACATTTTAGAAAATGAGTACAATGACCATCTGTTTCTTTTTTAATATGTACAGACATACTTTTAGTTTTTGTGCATTTATATATTTTACTCTTGCAGAAGTACTCATATTTTTTTTTAAATGAATGACCATTTATGACCGTAAGTCTTTTACCTCGTTATCACGGTATACTTCTGATCAGGAACTGAAGATTTACACTTACTAACTCCAAAAGAGAAAATGCACTAAAGTCTAAAATACCAGGAACTGGGACAAAATTCAGCAGTTCTTGGAAATCTTAAAAACTAGGTGACAGTTATACAGTCATAAAGCTGCTGCTGTTGTAATGTCCCCACTTACATGAGCACTCATCCTCTGAATGTCACATAAATGACATTTGCCATTACCACAGCTAATGTGGGTCACAATTCTGAATGGAGGTGGCACAAAAGGTGAACAACTGTCTTCTGCCGACAAATAAAGCTAAATCTGAAGTGAAACTAAGTAGGCACATTGCACCTAAACCATTATTACCACAGAAAACAAGTTACCTCCAAGAGCCATCTCCCTCTTCAGTAGGTTTAGTGAGATATCAACGGGAACGCTAGGGTTTGTGGTCACAGTCGTTGTCTCTCCATTAGCGGGCATGTAACAGTCGATACCTGTCATTAAAAGAAGGGAAGCATTAAATGTGAGCATGTTTAACTGATTTTAAGCTTTACTGATGAGCGGACGGTCTGCACTCACTGAACTCCTGCTCGATCTTCCCCTTTAGGAACTCCATTTTTACCGCCTCTCCGTGCACGAGCAGCATGTTGCGAGGCTCTGCCATGCGAATGAGCTGCATGATTCCTTTGGCGTCTGCATGTGCACTGAACGACATGTACTCAACCTGCAGCTTCACATCCAACTGTAAGAATCACAGAGAGATTTAGAGGCAATGTAGAGCGTTGGCTATGCTGATCAGAGACCTTACAGGATATTAAAGAAGACATTATTGCCTTCAGGTGGTGCAACTAAGCTTAGTTTAAAAAGTAGGGCTAGTTTCACAAAAATATTTAAAAGAGGTCTAACCCAACAGAACAATCTTTCTAATGCAACTTAGTTTCTTAGGCTAATCTAACTTAGCTTACTCAAAAGCAATAAAGAATGGCTCATTTAACCTAAAAAAGACACATTTTACTTCCATGCTAACTTTAGGAATGGTAATAATGAGTGACATTTATCTATAAGCAACAGTCAATAACAAAACAACAAAAACAAAACTTTTGTGGAAAATGTTATAGGTGTATCGTCCGTGTAACAGTGGAATTCTTCTAAATGATTGACAGTTTCTGCAAAGATAAACAGATAATCAGTAAGATACTGTCACCTCGGCAATCATTTTTTTCACCTTTAAAAAGTAAAATCTTATTTATGACTATGCAGTTTTCTGTAATGGATGAATTTAGGTATCTATCTGAAGTCTGACTATTTTGTTAAACTAAACTATAGTCAGTCAAGGTCTGCTGTTGTAAAACCAGATACATGACACATTACCAAAAAACTTATTGATAATAACCATAACAATTAAAAACTAAAAATATATCACATTATTGTTGTTTTTTGGTATCGTTTTCTAAAGGTCGAACGTTACTCTCATACTAGAGTAAATTATTTTCCAAGAAAAGCGACAAAACACACATTATTAAAAAAATTGCCATTAAAGAACAAAAAAAACCCCAAAAACAAAACCCCGTCATTAACAGGAAATATTTTGTCCCCTAATAACTGTGTAATGATGTGACAGGGCTCATATGTAACACAGCAGGCTTCATCAGTCTATTAAAGTGATGGTGATCTGTTACTCAGGTCAAGGTCACTTAAAAGTTTATGTGGTTTAAACCTTAGAGCTCAGTACATATACTATGCACATGATAGTGCCGTGCCATATAATATTCTCTGCAATAATACCAGTATAAACCTTTATGGGATATAAAAGTGTCATATTGTTACGCGTTTACATTATCTGAGAAAATCTCACAGATGTCTGACATCTGTATCAGCCCCGTGTCCACTTCCAAGGACAATTTAGTAAAAAGGGAGCTACTTCAGCGATCTTTAACAAAGCACAGGGGTTTGTGGAATACGTAAGGAAAGTCTTCCTGCCAAAAGCGAAAACAACAAACTTCTTTCACCCAAATAAACGTTATAAAAGCTACCGTGGATTTTATGAAGGAACACGAGGAGGAGATGCTAGCAGGTGGTGATGAACAGCACCGAAGTAAACAAATGACTCAGCCAAGCAAGAACAAACAGTGGATGGAAATTACTGATGCGGTTACATGGAGCCTCGATCCAAAAAAACATCGACCCAAGTTACGACACCCAGGGTAAAAAATAATTTTCAATTTCAGTTTTATTATGTTGCCATGTTACACTTTTCCACTGAAAACACTACTACTGCTTTGTGCTTTCATTTGACTTACGGTGTGTCTGTCTATATACTGCTGCACCACTCTATAATGCTGCTGCTGGCACCTTGTGGCAATATCTTCACACTTTGAATCAGGTAGTCTATCATCAGTGACAGGCGCTAAATGGAAAAGGAGGATGGAAAATGCCCTTCATTTTTTATTTATTTAAATACTGCCACGTGCAAGCTGCACTCAAACAAATGTTTTTCTCTTTGAAAGTGGTATTGCATATTTCCTTCAAATATTGCGATACACTTTTGAGGCTATATCGCCCAACCCTAAGATACGGCACAGACAAACATGAGTGTGGCCCAGTAAAACTGTCTTTTCATGCTACTGTTGAAGGTTTTGTGAGAAAAACAACTGAAATGAAAGACAGACGTGCAGACAACAGCATTAGCCACTACACTCACATGTAGTGCGAAGTGGTCAGAAAATATAATCGTGTGCATGCTTGAAAGGGACCATAACGAGCTTCAGATGTTTTTCCCCCCCAACATATATATATATTTATCAATAGGCCAGAAAGAACAGGTACATGTAGAAGCCTTTTTGTGTAAGGTAAAACTGACCAATTGCCTTAAATATATGCAGGCTAGCGGTGGTTATGTTTACAGCTACTGGCGAGAGGCCCATTTTGAGCCTTTAGTGGTTCTGTTAGACAGAGACAGGATAGCAAGTCCGATTTTTAATCTTTAAGCTAAACTAACATCTTCCCAGCTGTAAATGACTATTTAAGTGGTAATACTTGCTCATCTAAACTCTCCTCAATATAATGGAAAATTTGGAATCACTCATTTTAAGATCTTTGCTACAACCGAGTTCACAGAAAAATGAGACTGGATGGAACGACTGAGGAGGATGTGAATAAACGATGTGACTTTATCTGCTCACCCCCTAATTTTTTTTTCCATCTTGAGAATATAAAGTAAGTCTTACCGTTGCTCTGCCTTCCATCTCCAGTTTCCTTTGCCCATTTAGGATTTTGTGACCGATTGTTCCCTGTACACAGTAGCCAGGCATGATAACCTAAAAAAAAGCAACACAAAAGCACACCTTTTAGGTTTTAAGTGTTACAGATTTCAAAAACGCTGTCCACTTCCTTACAATACTCACCATGTTCTTCTCATTGCCAGCCCATTTCTTGAATATCTGCAAAGACTGACCTGCATGCAGCATACCCGGTGTTGCAAACACCACCTGAAAGTGTCCACATTATTTTACTTCACTGCACTTTGACCTCTTCAGTGAGAAACTTCGCATACTTTTGACGTACAATGGGACTCACCATAGGACCGGGATTATCAGCGTAGGAGCGATCAAAAGCCTTGATGTGCTTAAATTCAAACATGTTTCTCTGTACAAAGGTTTTTCGAATCTTCTGATTGGTCCACGTTATGAAAAGCTTGTAGTAATGATTAGCTTTCTCTGTCAGTCCAGTGGAGAAGTAGATTGGGGCCTTCAGGTTCATTCTCTCCCTGTGTGGTGAGGGGGGGCAATTAGAGCGTCTGTCCAAAGAGCCAGTGAAGAAGTTAATGTGCCACATTTATTCTATCAAGCTTAATAAATTGAATACAGCTACTTTAGGGAGCTGTCCAGACAAATATCAGCCCTTTTTGTATTGTAATCATGTGCAATTACTCTACACTGAAAGGACTTTTTATTTAATTGGAATGTCAACAATTATGTGCTAGAAAAATTGCCTTTATCTGATATCATTCAGCCAGAGAACAGACCGCGATTATCTTCACGCATCACTGTCTTTGCTCTCTTCTTTCTAGCTTTCACAGAGACTTCCTCCCTTTTTAATAGAACCCATACAGCAAACAGAGATAAAAGGCACACTTGCTAATGCTTCTGAAGAGTCTTTTAAAACAGATCTGTACCAAAATGTTTCCAGCAGGATGCAGAGTTCTTGTGCTCGACCGAGGGCGAAAACTGGAATAAGAACCTGGAAGGTTGGGAAGAAAAAAAAGATCTTAGAAAATATATAATACTAAGATGAAGAAAACCCGACTACTCGCAAAAAATGCAATATTCAATAAACTTTAACCGTTACCTTTCCTCCTCTTTCTATGCTTTCATGAACTTTCTTCAGAAAGTCCCGCTCTCTGCACCTCTTTGAGTCACGGATGGTGGTGGCGTATGTAGACTCAGAGATGAGGATGTCTGGGCGACACTTATCGATCCACGCGGCACTGTGAATTTACAACACCAGCATTATGAAACTGTCACAGTCAAAAGCTTGGAAAAACCTAAGAATTAAAAGATGTTTTAATTATAATTTTCTATTTTCTAATTGGGGAATAAAACTAAAGACATCAAAACAAATAAATGAACAGATGTGGCTTTATACAGTCGGCGCTAGAGGTTTAAACAAAGTGTGTATTTAATGTATGTGTAGAAAAAGTTAAGGCAATGGACTTAAAAATTCTCTCTAATGGCCAGCTATACAACCCAGACATTCAATGTCCAGGAAAACTTTCTTTTCTTGTTACTGCTGAATGTCTTGTAAGCTAACCAACTGAAACAAAAAGCGAGGCATGCAGACAACAACATCACCCACTCATCTATGCTATTATCTTGTGGTTAGATGATGTAATCATATGCATGTCTAATAGCGACGCTGGTGCTTTCCTCCCTTAAATATGTAGTTATTAGGCCAAAAAGATACATGCACAGTTGTTTTTTAGGTGAAGGTAACAGACATTTGAATCATTTTGAGCTTTTTTGTAGTGCTGCTTATGCTAAACTAAGACCTTCCTGGCTCCAGGTTGATATTTAAGGAGTAGTGATTTGGTCATTTAAACATCCTTGAAGACAGTGGAAAGTCTGGAGCTACATCTTTCATAATCTATGCAACCCAATCCTAAAGATTACATTGCTTTATACCCCTTTTGACTACAGCGGGGCTTACACTTTACAAAATAAACAAGCTGTACTCAGTAAGACTTTAAGCTAACATAGAAAGGTCATAGATCAAGTGAGCAGTAAGTATGTGTGACTGCAATACATTGGTACAGATATATGCCCTTTAGTGCTGAGTAACAGACTAAAATAGTAAACTTTCGTTGACCAAAACTGAAGCATAAACATCTTGGACAGTCTGTCCCAAACAGGAAGCCATAATATTTCAAGTTCAATCAAAATGCCGTGGCAGCCGTGCCATTTTTAAATATGTCACCAACAGTGTCCCTCACTCGCCTGTAACTAAAATCTGACATTGGGACCCATTCGACCGAAGTCATGATTCTGACTCAGCTAATGCCTATTTCTTGTATTTCTTAGTCCAGGCAGTACTTCTCTTCTAATTAGTCTCCCTCAGTAGTATATACACAGCGTCCTCCCTGCAGCTTATGTGGAGATCTGTCGCTGACTGAACTTTGGGAAGCATTGATGTGCCTTCTGATCTGAGCTGCTATTAATTGGTGAAGTCTGAGCCCCTAATGAACATTTTCTGCAGCAGAGGTGACTCTTAAGTCTGTCTCTCCTAAGGCAGTCCTCACAAGAAACCGTTTCATCTGGGTGTTTGATGTTTAAAAGTTGTTTATATTTTCTGGTCTCACTCACCTTCATGTCTTAAATACTTAAAAGTGACTTTCTGTTCACTTTACTTGTTTGATTAAGGGTTGCTTTTAATACCTGCAGCGGTCAAATAGGGCTATTTACCCACTCACCCCTCTGTTGGGGATCCCTTTCCATGAATGACTGCATCAATGCAGCATACTGTGCAAGTGATCAGCTTGTGGCACTTAAGCTCATCTGCATGAATAAGGTATTTCTCAGCTTCCTTTCTCAAGTCATGTAAGTTGGCTGGCCAATCAAGGACAGTAATGTCATGATTAGCAAACCTTTTAGTAGTAGTTTTGGCATTGTGGTCAGTTGCTAAGTCCTGCTGCAAAAGGAAATCTGCTTCTAATAATACATTTACCCTTTAAATAAGCTCAGTCAGATCCCAGCTTTGATTTTTTTTTAAACACTGTTTAGAACAAACAGACCGGCCTCTATTGAATATTGAAATTTATTACTGAAAACCTCCCCATATAGTTGAATAGTTTAGTACAACTAACACGTTCTTTAATAGTTTTTATGTTTTCAGTTGCTGTGTTGACCCCTAAAAGGGTGTAGTCAAAAGAAGAAAAGGATTCAAGCTTAAAAAAGAAACAGAATTAATAAAATAAAGCCATGGGATTCCAAAATTACAGCTTATTTTTCAACTTCTGATCATTTTTTTGATCCAGAAGTTATTTTATTTCGCATCGCTTGTGAAAAAAGCAATTTAACGGATGTACAAGCCATTAATGGAGGGTCAACCTCAACACGCAAATTGTCAGAAGAATAAAATTACTGAATGAAAGCAAGAAAGAAATACTGCATCTTAGGCTTTTGCGCAGATCAGAGTTAGGATTTTAGGATTTTAAGAAATTCAAAATGGGCACTGGCAGTCTTAAATTTGTAAATGTATGATCTATTTTTTAAAGAGTTAAATAACTAAAAGAAAAACCTCAAACAAGTAGGTTCACTTACCCTAAATGCCTGTCCGGTGTCATGTTATAGTCACCCTAAAATAAAAAGAAATTATTCTCAGATTGCACTTGATAAATTCACCTACTGTGACAGAGTGCACACTTGTTTACACTCACAGTGTAGACCACAGACTCTGATCCCACTTTGATGTGAACCATAGCAGCTCCCAGGACATGGCCTGCATAGTACGCCTTGATCTCCAGCTCATCATCCACCTGCCACCAGCACAAAACAGCTTGAATTGCCATCAAAAGAGAAGAAGCAGCTGGCGCAGAAGCAACTATTAGACATGTGTGCGTGTGTGGTCAAAAATGATGTCAGCACTGCACCTGGACAGTCTGGTGCAGGTTCAAAGGAATCACTTTCTTCATGCAGTCCTTGATCATCTGCGAAGTGAAGAAGTTGGTTTCTCCCTTTTTGTCAACGGTGATCTTCCGGAAATCTTCCAGTAAAATGGGGCAAATGGCTTTGGTGGGATGGGTCATGTAGATGGGTCCATCATAGCCCACCATCTCACTCATGTAGGGCAGAGCACCGCAGTGGTCCAAGTGGAAATGGCTGAAAAATGTAGAAAGGTGTACTATGTTCCACACATGGTTGAGATTATTTAAAAAAAGGTGCAATATGAAGAACATAACAAATAAGACAACAAACCTGATGATCACACAGTCCAAGAAATCTGTCAGACGCCCATTCTGTGTTATATAAGAAAAGTCTGGGAAACGTCTCTGCAATGATAAAACAATCTGTTATAGGACTGTTACTGAATGGAAATCATCTTCTTTCAAAGGTAGAAAACAGTGCATTTAAAAAGGAGAGTCTCTTTCTTAGAAGGACTGTTTCATAATAGCTGTGTTTAAAATGCATTCCAAGTCAGAATGTACAGAAATAGCAGCAGTTTGCACAGAGAAGCCCAGCCCACCTCTGCCAGCTTGGTCATACCTTTACTGCCAATGTAAGCGTTGAATAACAGAGTCCCACGTCACTCAGTGTCTGGGTATTGTGAACTGTCATTTAGTGCGCAGACACAAACGATAGTCACTGTGCGTTCCCTGACTCAAAGCTGCAAGGAAGCAACCCTCTCATCCATTGGGGAAAACCTCAACGTACAGGTAGGGAACACAAGCTGTCTGCTCTCACCTACTGTAGGGCAACTCAAGAGGTTCCATTGCCTGAGCTACTCGCTGAGGTGAGTCCAACTATATCAAGTTTGAATCTCTCATCCTCACACACCAACTCAGGCTCCTTCTCCACCCAAAAAGTGATGTTCCATATACCACAAGCTAGTTTTGGAAACCAGGGATCGTCAGACCTCAGACCACCGTCTGATCCACCAACCCCCTATGGCCCCTCTTTGTCCTTTTATTGCAAAAAATTTGATGGTAAGGACTAAAGACAGTCCAAGACAGTAACAACTGTGTTATACTGCTAACACATCATCGGTTCTTCGAAAACATCCCGCTGACAGCAGGCTAACACAAAAATACGAAGAACCCAAAGTTATGTTCAAGCTGAGTGAATGCAGACGCAGGCCCAGCAGGTAGAGCCTGATCTTCAACATGTAACGAAAGCATTGATGAGCAGTCAGACTCTTCTCTCTATCTTCTTAAGTAGAATCACTGTGGTGACCCCCTTTAAGCCTCTTCGGGCTGATTTTCAATTTTACTTTGTGTTAATGTTGATTTTAAATAAGAAACATCATTAGTGTCCTCATTAGGATAGGTGTTTGTGTCAGTGTGTGGGACTGTAGTCTCAGGTTTATATTAAATGATAATTATGTGACACTGTATTTCAGGTCAAGTTACACAGGAATGTGAAAGTGATGTTAGTAGTAGCAGTGTAATGAATTAACTTCTCCAATGAGTAATTTAGAAATATACTGCATTCATTTAAAAAAAAAAAAAAAGTAAACAGTAATGTGTACCACATTACTTTTCTGAGTAACAACTCCAAAACTGCAGATAGATATCTGCTGGCTCCCCAAAACATTTGCCAAAACCTGTATAGCACACATCAGCAAAATAGATGGGTTGGAAATTGCACTTCGGCCCTCAATGTGGTAAAGGAAAACTATATATGTTAACAACAAAAAAACAAACAAAAACCAAACACTCCAACATGTCCAAACCATCTCAGCCTTAGCTCTTCAAATCACTTAACATGAAATGTCTCTCAGATGTACTAATTTCTAATCCTAATGAAAATCTTAACTTCTTCAAACCTGCCTCCTGTCTTTTTGTCAGCAGATCTCACTACAGTCTTGTAAACCTTCCCAGTGTAAAACAGCCTAGGTAGTGTTAACTTTTGCTGTCATATTTGAAACACTTCTGTTTCACTTTAGAGTCTTTTATTTTGCCCAAGTCTCATGTAGGGTTTTGATTTGGGATTCTTGTCAGTATGCTATGTGCAGGGTGCTTATAACTACCAATAAGATAGAGGAAACCAATAAGGGTAAAAAAAAAATTAAAAAAAAGCTTTTGCTATAACAAATGCATTATGTCACTCACATCATCGTTGTAGCCCATGTGCATCCCACAGTCCAGCATTATGTTTTTGCCTCCGATGGAGACGAGGATGCAGCTCCTGCCCACATCCTGTCCAGCACCTTGGAAAGGCAGGACAGAAGATAAAAGTTCAGAATTACACTCCTTTAGTAATGGTAGTAAACACACAAGTGCGCAGCGGTAGGATTTAAAGGCTAAGTAGCATCACCAAATACAAACAAATCCCGAAGTGGTTTCTTTTCATAGCAAGGCAAATACTTAAATAGATCTTAAAAGTTTTCCAGCTCATGTACAATATGAATGTTGACGGAACTGAGGCGCTAGCTAGCTAGCATCTGTACTCACCGAGTGGCGTTACTTTTATTTCAGGCATGCTTTCTCATTGGGCAGCCTTTTTTTTATATACACAGGTAAATGACACCAAGGTTACCTAAACGTCCAGGCTCTGTCAGCTGAATAACTTCTGAATTATATAGGAAAGTTTATTGTGTGTAGCTTTAAAACATGCAGCTAATATTATGCACTGACTTTATTTTTTAGCAGCGTTGGGCTAACACGCAGGACTTCCGGCCAGTGCTTTCACAATAAAACCACCTTGCTACGAAAGCCTGCAGAAAACACAGGTGGAAAGGACCCGGGTAAGGTTTTGAAGACTATTTCCATATCTCATTTTGATAATCTATACTTCCTTTCAAGCAAACTCAACTATCTATATTTCTTGAAAAATACTATGTCTTCCACTTTTAATTATACTGAACTGATAGATGTGTGAATAGATTTTCAGCATAAGGAATATGACACCTGTAAAAACGATTAACCAAGAAAAAGTGGCATCACGTAGTCTGGATAGCACTAAGAATGAAAGGGAAGGTTTACAACATGCTAATGGTTTGGAAACTGAAACGGGGTCACAGGATAACTGGCCACAGTGATATTTAAAGTCCTCTCATCCTGCCTTGCCTCTTCTTACTCTTTGCTTACTTATTATGCTTCACTGCCTACACACCAGCTACCATTTCAAGTGACATTTCAGGTAGCAATTCACCTGTCTGGAGCTCTTTTTGACCTAATTTCAGCACTGCCTACAGGGATTTCAGGTGCATTCATTTATAAAAGTTCATTTCTGGCATACAAAGGCTATGCTGTTTGTCACTTTTTATTTTTCACACATCAGTGACGTTTATGCAACAAAACTATTTGTTTAAGTGCGGTGGGATCATGGTTTGGGTTATAATAACTTCTTTCAACAAGTCCAATAAGCAATCAAGGTACAAATTTCCTTCGCTTTTATTTTGAAGATAAAGTCGCCAAGTTAGAGCCTGCGCAGTAGAACCGGATAGGAACAGACAGGATCTGTCGCTTCACGGTGTCGAGAAAAAGAAATGCGTAATTTTCCTTTCAATTTTAACTTTTCTTGTAGGTGACGAGTTCACTTCTTGATCGTTTACCACAGGGCTTGCATTTTTACCCAGTTCCGGTTTGTTTGTAGCCCCGGAATACATTTTTTACGTGCCTGTTTGTGTCATTTGCACTTCCTGGTAGAAACCATGGCAGGCTCAGAAGACCAGAAGTTCTCCCTCCAGGAGGTCCTAGACACTTTTAAGTTGTGTCTGTCGGAAAATAAAGAAGTCTATCTAGAACAGTACGTCGCTGGATGGCGTGGGCTTGTAAAGTAAGTGGTTTGGGGGTCCAAATATTCTCTGTGTGTTCTTACATCAGTGTAGAAGTAAGGCGAGCAGATCACAGCAAGGTAAATGTAGGACAGAGAGCGTTTACTATAAGCTAAGATCACGTCTTGAGATTTATATCTGATCTAGCTGACTCTTCATCTATTTGAGAGAAGAAAAAAAAAAGATGAACTTTCGTATGTTTAATGAATAAATAAAAGTGTCACCTTCATGCCATGAAAACTTTCCAGGTTACAGACCCTATGGGCTAAAATTTGCTGCTTTTAAATTAATTATTTTATGAGTCCTTGCAGCTTCATAATTACAGGAGATCCACAGGTTTGAAAAACACATTAAAGCTCTGTTCAAAAACAAATAAATTGTATAACCTGAAATCAAATCCCCCTTTTGTTCAATTCTGTTTTCTGATTCCAACTTTGTGCCTCAGTATCATGTTTCCTTTCCCTCAGCCCTAACTGCTTGCACCAGATGGCTGCCCCTGACTGAGCCTGGTTCTCCCTTTAAACAGGTTTCTTCTTGTTACAAGGAAATGTTCTTTCCCACTGCTGCCAAAATGCTTGTTAATAGGGGGTTGTCTGATTGTTGGGGTTTCTCTGTATTATTGTAGGGTTAATGTACCTTATAGTGTTAAGCACTTTAAGGTGAATTTTTTGTGATTTTTAAATAAATAAAATTGGACTGTATTGAAAGTTATATTGTAGTTTCAATTGCAAAACTACAACAGTTGAATGTCTGTGAAACAAGGGTCATATCACAGGCTGAGATAGGTGGCTGATCAAAACAGGTTATAGCATATGAAAGGGTCTACTTTACCTACAGACTGATTCCAGAATCATATTCCTGGTAATAGTGTGCCTTCTTGGCTAGGGCTAGGTCTCTGTGGAAAAAGAGATTTTATTCTCAGTGGACTTCCTGTTTTTTGGTTTTTTGGTTGTTGTTTTTTTTAAAAATCAATAAAATGTGATGACAGAAGCAGGCTGACAAGTATTTGCAAAACTGGTAATGCTAGCACGAGTGTTCCCTTTTTAAAGCTCCATGTTTTTCTTATATAAGAGCAATTAAAAGATCCAATAGAAAAAAGAAATAAAAGTAAAGGAATCAAAGGCAACACAATAGCATTACAAAACAGGCATATTTTAGAAATGACTGGAATTTGTAATTATAATTGAAATTCAAATTGCAGCGGCTTTCATAAATGTTGCATTTTTATTGTAAGAAGTATGTGAAATATTTTTGCAGCAGGAACAGCATAAAAGGGAAAGAGTTGAGCTTCAGCTCTGGTCTGTGAGTGAATTCTTGGAATTTCTCATGTGAACTGAACCGATTATAATTTGCAGACATTTAGAATTTACTGCTGTAATAGTAGACCAAAAGGACACCCAGGTGTTAACTGAGTGTGTTTTTACTCCTTGTAATAGGTTTCTGAACAGCTTGGGAAGTGTCTTTGGCTTCATTTCTAAGGATGCTGTCGGCAAGATCCAGATCCTTGTGAATTATATGAATGGTGAGAACGCTTCTCACTATGCTACTGTGCAGTCGATGGTAAAATACGAAGTGGACAATAATCTCGTGGATGTGAACAAGAAAGGAAGCCACCCAGAGTCTGGCTGTCGTACTCTGCTGAGGCTCCACCGCGCTCTGAGATGGCTGGAGCTCTTCTTGGATCGCCTGCGCACCAGCACAGAAGACAGTAAAACATCTGCCCTGTGTGCAGAGGCCTACAACGAGTCCCTCGCCCAGCACCATCCGTGGATGATCCGTAAGGCTGCGGGCATGGCCTTCCTCGTGCTTCCTGGTCGCCAAACCTTTTTCGAAGTAATGAATGTTGGCCCACCTGAGCAGGTTGTGGCCAAGCTGGGGGAGGCCCTACCTCTCATCTCTGAGGTGTACCAGATCACAGAGGACCTATATGCTCAGCATAACATGCTTGATTTACCTTAGAAGCAAGAAGTGCTAATATCTGACACGTCATACTTTATATAATTAAATATTTGTAACTTGTCCTTGGTGAAAGGACAAGGTGAAAGGCTGCTGAACAAGATGCTTCTGCTGCTTGGTGAAGGATTGTGTCATAATTAGCTGTAATACCACTAAGATTAATTTTGAAACTACTGTATACATGTTTTAACATAAAATTCTGTACATTTTCCTCCAAGTAATGGACCTTTGAATGTATTTTTATTAACTCATCTTTTGCTTTTAAATCAACAATTCCCAGTCTAGGGTCAGAGATCATTTACAGTATATTAATTAATATTAATATATTGTTTGTAGTTAACTCAGATTTTGAAGATTTTACATTTTTAGACAGAAATATATAATTTAAAAAGCTGCACCTTTTAAACTTTTGACCATCCACCCATCAATCTTTCTGAGTAAATGAGCCCAGCCATCTCTGAGGAAGGTTAAACATGTAGGATAAGATCTTGTTGGTTTAATTCTTATAATATTTAACAGAATAAAATCCTTCTTCTAAAATAACCAATCTTAAATAATAAAAATCAGTTTATTTCTTTTTAAATCCTTAAGGACTTTTTGACTTGGTTTTTCATTTAGTTTAAAGTTGCAATTAGATCTTTATATTTGAAAAAGAAACTGATCCTGAATTTACCTTAAATCCCTTCATTAGTTAGAATTTTTTTTTTTTTTAAGTAAAGCTGTTGGAGAAACACTCTTAGACAATAAATTAATAAAAGTTAAAATCTAAAAGAGTTTTTAGACAGAATTTCAATTTTCAATTCTCTCCCGACAGTCAAGCTTTAGAAAACAACACTGCAAAATAACTGCTTCTATTAAAGCGTAAATGACAATACTGATACAAAGAACTACAAACAATACAAAACAATGTCTTTTTCTTCATTTCTAAAAGGCTTTTCATACAGTTTACAATACCACCTTAATAAATGGACTACACAACACTGCTTTACCTGGGAATGCTGTAAGTTGATTTTTAAGTTACTTGTAAGCACACATTGTGTCGCTTAGTCTGGTCTGCCCTCCCTTGTCTCCTATTATTCAAGGAGTTCCCCAGGGCTCCATATTAGGACCACTATATATAACTTTCCATTAATTTCCGTTAATTTATTAAATGCTGCGTTCTGTTTTTATTCAGTCATCTATTGTTATAAATTATTTACTGTTATCATTTACTGTTTAACTCCTTCAGTAGTACAGACCCTGGAATTTCTGCACTCATTCTTTGATGTTCTCATTTGATGTTCCCACTTGAAAAAAAAAAAAAAGAAATTAAGTTTGCGTTACATGCAGACAATTCCCAAATTCATGTTTTTCTCAGATGACCAAAAGCTCATCTTAAAACTTGCATCTTTGTTTATTTCTTTAGTTATGTTTGTATTTGTTGCAATCTGCACTGCCTTCTTTGCCTTGTCTCTCTTAACAAGACTGTTTTAACCTCAGTAACACTTTTACTTTGATTTAGAAAAAGAAAATCTGAATTAATGAAATAAAAGGAAATATTGATCTGCTTGAAGTTATCAAATTTCGGATGGAGGATGTTCAAATTAGTTTTCCATTGTGGTCATGTTTGGGAATAGCTGCTTTGGATTGTTTTTTTGTTTTTTTTTAATTAATTTAAAAATATGAAGGGAACTACAGTGGGTCCCTGAAGTCTTGGGCTCCCGTTTAAAGCTGCTGTTTTTGCAACAACATTTATTCAAAGGAAATAAACCAAGTTTGCATTTTTGATTTGGGATTTCAGCATTAAGAAGTAATGAAGAAACAATGAAATGACAAATTAATTAGAAGTGAACAAATGTTTGGCTCTCAGATATGAAAACAGGCTGAAGAGATTTAATATCTTAAGAGGATTAACAGAAAAGTTATTTACTGGCATGATGATGATATTTTGTAATGCTTAAAAGACCAAACATTTAATTGGGGAAACATGACACAAAGTAATAATGAATAATAGTGAGGTATACCAATTATGAAAATTGCCATGCAGTATTTAATCCAGTGTTAAAATGTTGAACCTTCTGTTGCTGGTAATCATTATTAATGACCTTTCTATTTAGATATATTACAAAATATTCCATAAATATGGGATGATGATATATTACAAATGTAAATGGACAAACATACTTAATTGGGAAACAGCATGTTGTAAATCATTGATTAAAAAGGTTTAACTCTGTACATTGTTGTTTTCCATAAATTCATATCACTTCAGTGTTTTACTCCACATCTGATTCAGGTTTTTTCTTGTTAAATGAAGATTTGTATTTTTGTTACATGCAAATGTTTATTTATGTCCACATGAACAAATGTTTTGCATTATGAATTGATTTATGATTAATGTACAAATATTATGATAGAATATAGCATTGTATTTGGAACAAGCATGTTCTGTATTCTGTGTTATTATTCACTCAAACGTGTAATAAACATTGCAGGTGAAAAAAGACAGATGTTCCCGTTTGGCCGTGAAGGATGTACTTAAGGTTTCTTATTTTGTGAATTAAACTTTGTCATGTGATTTTTTTTTTATTTTAGAAAATAAGTCATTGTAAGTGCAGCCATCTCACTGTCCTTAAACAGCATCTTGAAGGTGACAGAAATGAACACATATCATTACTATGAGACTAAATACACTCACCGGCCACTTTGTTGGGTACACCTGTTCATCTACACATTAATGCAAATGTTTACTCAACCAATCACATGGCAGCAACTAAATGCATTTATGCATATAGACAAGATGATCAGCTATAATTCAATCTGAGCATCAGAATGGGGATGAAAGGTGATTTAAGTGACTTTGAATATGACATGATTGTTGGTGCCATATGGGTTGATTTGAGTATTACAGAAACTGCTGATCTGCTGGGATTTTCCCACACCACAGAGAATGGTCTGGAAAAGAGAAAATTGATTGATGATTAAGGCTAAGGATATTTTTCCTACATTATTTTATTTTAGGTAGTTTTGTGAGAACACATTATTGTTTCAGTTAGTTTTGGTTTTGATTATAGTGAACACTTTTTCAAACCTAATTTTAGCTTTTAGCTCACTAAACAATAAAATAAGCTTGCCACCTTCTGTTTGCATTAATGTATGAAGCTGCAGTTGCATGTTTCCAACAGCAGGGGACTCCCACTCTCCAACCACAGGTTGTCAAGGCAACCAGAGTGTCATGGCAACGTTGCTGACGCTTGAGAAAGGACTTAATACCCAAACTGGGAAGTAAAGCGCACAAACGCTAATTTAACTTGTTGACCGGCTACGGAAGCGTACATTTATACGTTTAACCAGTGCGATAGTTTTTAAAAGCTGTGCTCATAGCCTTTAGAACAATATAAACTTTCATTACTCTTTTTTTGTAAAGCACTTACGCCGAAACACAGCTGGAAATCTTCAAAGCAGCGGATCTTCGATGCATCTAACAAGGCCAAAATCCTCTAAGGGGCGAAGCAGACCTGCTGTAGACAGCTCACTGTATCCAGGGGAGGCGAACAGCATCCACAGGGAGCCGGGGTCTCCTGAGTTCCGCAGGCCGGACAGAAACCTTCGCTCCCGGTCTCAGCCCGTCATGTTGCAAGCTAACCACCTGAGCCAAGAGGACGTTTTGCACATGCTGCAGCGTACTCCTGCGGCTCCGCCACAGTCCTTAAACAAGTACAAAGTCCTTCCGTCAATAGAGAAGAGAAGGCAGTCAGAGGTGAGCCTGCACAAAGACGTGTCCAACCTTAACCTAGCAAAGGATGGTGATGATGTGACCAAGGTCTGCAGCCCCAGTGATTCAACGGCAGAAGCTGGCAGTGGTAGTTTGCTTCTTGCTGTAAGAGCTCCATGCGGAAGGAGGTTTCAGCAGCCCTTTGACCCCACACACACTTTGCTAACAGTGAAAGCCAGTGCAGAGGCCAGGTTTGGAACCAGGTATGAAGATGCTTGCATTGAGACCATGGAGGTGCCACGCAGGACCTTTAGAGACCTGCGTATGACTCTGGCACAGTGTGCCATTCCTAACAGATCCGTGCTGTGCATCTCTCAGAAAACTGACACTATGGGGGGACAGGAGTAATATGTGTTCTTTGAGGTCTGTAACTGTGCATTTTGTAGCTTCACTTGGATATCTGAACTTCACTGTGCAAAGTTTAAAAGGCTTCTTTCGCACCAATCTGTAGCCTCTAAGATTTTTAATGCCAAACTTCGTCCAATATGCACCTTACTCAAGTAAAATTAAACTTCTCGTGCTCAGGATCTGTGTAGCAGAAGAGATGTTTTTCTGCATTGTGTGTTCATGAACCTGCACGGAGTTGTGATTCTTCAGAGTACTTTGAGATTATATACATTTCAGGATGTATAAATAAATGTTTCATAACTCTGGAAGCTCAATGAGCAAATGGGGTTATATATTTGGAAAATAAAATATTCACAACGACGTTGATTCTCAAAAGTGATTTAGGTGGTCTTTACGCATGTAAAAGCTCAGTTTTGCAATCTACATTTAATAAATTTTAGTATAGCTCCTTTCAATTTGTTTTCCCAAAGTGTTCATTAAAACTAACTTATCATAATCAAGTTTTATTATTAAATGGAGGAAAGTAATCTTTTGAATCATTTGATTAAATTTAAATTAATAAAATGTATCCTTTTTCCAGGCAGTTCATGGCATGGGCAAGCAAGTATAACATCTTCCAAAAAAATAAGTTTAATGACAAAGTAAAATGGTAGAAGTTTTACATTCATGTCTGCAGTATATACTGTTTATATTTAGAGTTCAGGGTGCCTCACATCCCACTAAATGATATTTACTAGTTTAATTGCTTCAGTAAGATTTTGCAAGCTGGAATTGTACAGCCTGCTCCTGAAGGCATCATCAAAACCTTATTACTCAGGTGTACTCATTAAAATGTAAGCTATTAGAACCACGCCAAGGAACTTGGAGTTTTTCACCAGAGAACTTTTGAATCCATTTAAATTGCTTGTGTGTTTGACTTCACAGAAATGGTAGTCAACACCAAAGTGAGTGAATTAGTCTGCTTAACTGAAAATACAGTTTTAAATTTTAAATAAAATTATGCTCAAATGTGTTTCAACAAACTCATAATACCATTTGTGCCAACTCTGGAAAATTTATTGAAACAATCACACAGTAAAGTTAAAGGGGGAAAAAGCTATCAGGTCTCTCCCTCT